TACGCCACCACTCTTGAGCTTCGTGAAGATGTCTCGCATCTCATCCAACACGGGCTGCATTGGCTCTCCATCAACAAATTTGATGTTGCGCAATCGTCGCGCAAGTAGCACAATGCCCGTAGCATGTGTTGGTGAGTGCACATCAAGGAGTTTCCTCCATGCCTTGGGTCCACACTCGGGATCACCCAATAGGCCTTTGATATGGTCAAGTTGGCGTCCACCAACCGCTTGGACCATGAGCATATACGCATCAAATGAGCGTTTTATCCATGCTCCTTTCAAGTCCACGACCTCTGGCATCCTTTCCTTTCCTTCCACCACATCCAATAACTTATATTGGGTAAACATGAGCTTCATACGGAAACTCCAGTGCTCATAATCCTCCCCCATGAACTTCTCAATAGAGAATATTTTCATAGGATCCACAGATATAGGAGATGGTGTAGTGGAAGAGGGTAGCAAAGGGGTAGTTGGTTGGTGAGTTCCCACTCCACCACCAACTACTCTCCCTTGCTCTCCAGCCTCTCCACTCCCAGCCATTCCATCATTAGCACCTCTGGAGTCCGTCTCAGCCATCACAAGGCTTTAGGCACGGTGGAATCTTGAAAATCGCTTGGACAGGATTCTGCCAGAAATTTCGCTTTTACGAAAAACGCAGTCACGGCTAGCACACTTTGTATTAGGACGCGATTCGACCACCAATCAAACGATCCCAAGCAGAGATACAATAAAATGGTCTCACTCGTCAAAATCGGTTGAGAATTGATGACTATTCGTCGCTTCAAAGTTGACCATCCGCTCTGATATCACTTGTTGCACAAGATCCGGTCACTTTGAAGACTTACGACGAATTCATTTCTCAACTAAACGCAAATTCGCTCAATAGGATTGCGCGCGCTAGTCTTAGCTACCATTTGCAAGTTGAATCACTTGATTTCATGGTCTAGGGAGTGAGAACGACTTGAAAACGTATAGCTGCTGCTTTCACTAGAATGGAATGGAGGAAGAACAAAAACATTAGGCATAGAATAAGGAGTTGGGGGTTTCAAGAGAACCTTGTGAGGGAAGGCTCTCCAAATGCTTGGGAAGGATAGTAGGATCCTTCCTAGCATCAAAGATGCAACCCTCATAATGAGGTCCTTGATGTGTCACATGCAAAATCCAATCCAATTGGATTTTGCCTAGGTGTTGCAACATTTGCAACCCATGCTAGAAACTTCTAGCCACCCCAATCCAAAAGTCAAAGTTGCCTTCCTAACCACCCAACCAAAGATCCCTTTATAGTCAAGACCCAGTAAACGCCCAATTTAGTTAATATCCCAAATTAAGATAGAATTCCCAAATCTTGGAAATCTTGTAACTTGGGCGATCTTGGTCGGAATAAGGCGATCTTGGTATCGTTGGAAAGCTCTGGATTTCTCCTGCGCGATCATGCATTTAGACTTGGAGAAAAACACAGAGGTGATAAAATCCAACAGCCATGCATAATAAATTATGCTCATGCAAATGACGTAAGCATGAATTGCACGAGCACACAGCAGGACGTTAGGATGACATGCACTCACACTGACGTGCATACAACACTCGGCATTCGCTCCTACAAAGAGAGCGTCGCTGGAGCCCTGGAAGTCTGGAAGCACCTTGTTGAGGTATATCAGCCGAAAGATTAAGTCACCTCCAGCAGGCTCCTGCAGCAACTCATGGAGACCAAGATGGGGCACGGGGAGAAAGCGAACGCATAGATTAACCGCTGTCGGAAAATCCGTGACCAGATCACAAAGCATGGAAGCGCCATTTCGGAGGAGATCTTCGTCAATGTCATCTTCTAAAGACTCGAGCCTGAGTGGAAGCCCTGTAAAGCGCTCCTCCGACTACGAGGAATCATCTCAGAAGCCACGCTATGAGCCGCCCTCCCAACTGAAAACCAGGACATGGATTCGAGCAGGACAAGCTCCGCGCCGCGCCGAGAGGGCCTTGCCTTCTAAACAGACAACCGTAAAGAGTGTGGACAACCAAGGTGCCAGTACTGCAAAACTTGCAAAAACTTCGGACATTCAACGGACCGATGCAAATTCCGGTCCAACTATCGCCACCCGAATTCCACTCACCACAACAATTGGGTCGGCCGACAAGACACTCGCCAATCTCAGTTTCAACAACAAACCGCTCGCCCTCCTACACAGCAAACCCAAGCAACTCAAGCAGGAGCTCCCAGAAACGAAATCACTAACATGGCGGCAAGGCGCCGCCCACGCACAACTAACATAGACGAAGAGGAAGAACCTCGCAGCGAGCTCATTCAGCATGAAGACGGATGGAACAACCCCCTCATAGAGGATCACTACTACCTGTACGACGAGGACGAGCAAGATTGGCATCAGCCAATACAACTGCGGGAAAGCCCGCCCCATGACAATCAGCGCTTCGTACCTATGGGATGGAAGGAAGATGAAGATCCGGCATTTCATAGAAGATTCAAGGCAACTCTGGTAACTCCGCGGCTTGCGCTACTCCTGCGCAACGACCAAAAAAATCACAATAACTGGTACCTGGACAGCTGCTGCGGCCAGCACAAACCAAAAATCTCGCAGAATGACGGTGCCAAGGAGTTTCGGAGCCACGAACTGGAAAGTGTTGTCGCAGAGAAGGGGATCAGGCATCAGATCTCCCTTCGTTATGCTCATCAGCAGCAAGGTGTCGCTGAGAGGGTTAATCACACTCTCATGACAAAAGTGCGCGCCCTCATGAACCAGTCCGGCTTACCCAAGAAGTATTGGCCGTACGCCATGAACCACGTCGTACGCCTGCACAACCTCCTCTCCACCACGGCCAACAGGGGCAACCTCTCCCCGCACATGAAATGGACCGGCTCAAGGGAGATACTTCCATGCTAAGGGTTTGGGGGTGTGTGGTGCAGTATTGACCGACCTCGGTCACCATCGGCAAGTTAACTCATCGCGCATGCTGGGGAGTTCATCTGGGACTCAGCCACGAGTATCAGGGCTGGCTAGTCCTTGACATCAACACCAACCAGATCGTCCCTGCCCGCGACATCCTCTTTTATGAACGTCTCACCTTGCAGCAGTGGATAGAGGACGAACGTCGCAACGTTGTCCACGCCTACGCCAACAACGGACGGAGCTTTGCATCTCCAGAAGACGAGACAGCAACAGCAATAGCACTTGACCGCGACCCCACTGACGAGCATCCCGCCGTATCGCCTGGACTGCGGGACGACGATGACGATGACGACACTCCCGCGCCAGGACCATCAAGGCGCCAACCTGAGCCAAGCAGTTCCTCACCTGGCCACAAAAGTGATGATGACGACGTAGTGGAGGTCCCCATCACAGACACCGCAGACACCACCAATATGTCCAGCCTACAGCTTCTCGGCCTACACACGACCGTCTCCACCCTCACGCGCGCCGTCGAGCCCAAGAATCCACGCCAGGCCCTAACCGGTCCTCACGCCAAGGAGTGGCGTGCTGCCATGGACGCAGATCTGAAGGCACTGGAATCACGAGATGCCTGGGTCCTAGTAGACCATGCGGCAGTGAAGGGGAGGAGGGTGCTAAGCGGAAAGACCGCATCACAACCAATAAAGAAGACGAGCGAAGACGAGACGAGAAGAAGACGAGGGACAAGACGAGGGTGATGGAGCTGGAATTGCATCCGAGCCCGAGCGCCCGAGCGATGGGGCAGCTGCCTCTACTGCTGAAGTTCCACCCAATCTTGATGGGTTAGTGTTCGTGGGTGGATTAGCAGAATGTGTGGCCTCGTTCCTAAGCTCTCCTGCATTGTAAGGGTAGAATGCTAGCAATATCATCCATTGGGTAAGCACTCAATAAAAAAGGCATGACCGATACACGACTCACCATCTATTCCCGCATTTACCCTTCGACCCCATCACAGCTTACCGGCGGGACGTGCTGGAGCACCCCTCCCAAAGGCACTCGCTCATTCCTGGCCTTTGTCGGCCAACGCTGCCGCAACTAGCCTCAAAGGGGCAGTATGTCTGTTACATCCCATCGTGTTGCTTCAATTCTTCATGATTCTGGGAGTGGCCTGCTGTCAAGCGACCGCGTGTAAGGGTTCTTTGGTCGTGCGATCGTGCAAGATGGTGTGGGCGACGTTGGGAGTCTTGTGGGTCTGTGATACGTGTGGCAAGACTATACAGTTTTGGTCTACAGAAAGGGGGAAAGTCACAATGGGTTTGGACAAACAGGGCCCAAAGACCTCCTTGCTCTTCCCGCGGTTCTTGGGGGCATTTGTTACGGCGGGAATAGGCTTCCAGCAGCTGTCAGAGGTTAGTCGGACACTTGGGTTTAAGTCTATCGGGAGGGAGACCTTCCATCGTTACATGCGACGGCCGTACGGTTTGTGGGAGGCTATCATCGTCCATGCCGAGGAGAGCATGGCTAGAGCTCGTCGGGACATGCAGCTGCGGAAACATGGAGATGGGTACATTTCCGTCGATGGGCGTTGGTCTCAGGCACGGGAGGCGCAGTGGTGCACAGTCACTTTCATGGATCCACGGTCACGGAAAATTTTGTTGACAGTCACGGTATGTAAAAAGGATGAGGGAAAGTCATCGACAGAGTTAGAAGGGGTTGCATTCAAGCTAGGTTTGAAGAAATTGAGGGAGTGGGGGTTCAATGTGACCGGGATCATAAGCGACGATGGAGCGTCTTTCAAGAAGGAGTTAGTTGGTACGGGTATCAACCATCAGATGGACGTTTGGCACAAGGGTCGAGCATTGACGAGGCTGTTTGTGAAAGATTTTGTGGAGGCACATGTGGGTACTATGACAGTGGAAAAGGCCAAGTCATGTTCCGAACTGTGGTTGGTTCAACAGAAGGACTTGTGGGAGTGGCTGAAGCTAAACAGGGGTGCGGGAAAAGGCGTGAGCTCGCGATCTGCAAAAAGACACTGATCAGCCATGTGTGTGCGAAATTGGGGAGGATTCAGTTTGATGAATCGGCAAAGGAAGCTCAGAAATGGGCATTCTTGGAGATGCGGAAGGTGCTGAAAGTCAGGGCTAAGCCGGTTGAACCACCGGCCAAGCGGCGAAGGGGCTTGGAGCGAGAGGGGGGAATGGAAGTGCAGCATGTGCGTCGGGAAGGGGGGGGAGAGAACGGCAACGTCGATTCACCACCTCTTGATGTGGGTGCTTCGGGTGGTGCGGCAGACGAGTTCTCACGAATTCTGGAGATCAAGTGGGCCGACGTTGATACGCCTTTCGACTTTGATCCACATCCCACGCATGTTGGCTGGGACGACATCACCCACGAGTTCATCATGGAGTCAGCCGAGTCTATGTTCCACCTTGATGACATCGACAATATGAGGAGAGGTGAGGCTCTATTCCAAATTCATGAAAGTATGGTTTCTGCTGATGTAATACCATTCTTCCCTAATGTGTTACACATTTTCCTCGGCACATTCAGGCGAAATGGAGTCGGGTCTAGAGATAGGGCGAGATCAGTAGGCGGAGGCGCCTGTAGTGGCGGGGGAGACTGGAGTGGCGGGGGAGTCTGGAGTGGCCGGCGAGGGTGGAGCGGTGGGGGAGCCTGGGGTGGCGGGGAAGCCTGGAGCAGTGGGGGAGCCTGGAGTGGCGGGGGAGTCTGGAGTGGCCGGGGAGCCCGGGGTGACAGGGGAGCCTGGAGTGGCGGAGGAGCCTGGAGTGGCGGGGGAGCCTGGAGTGGCGGGGGAGCCTGGAGTGGCGGGGGAGTCTGGAGTGGCCGGGGAGCCTGGAGTGGCGGGGGAGTCTGGAGTGGCGGGCGAGCCTCTAACTCCTGGTGAGGGTGGAGTGGTGGTGGAGCCAGGAGTGGCGGGGGAGCCAGGAGTGGCGGGGGAGCCTGGAGTGGCGGGGAATGCTGTAGTGAGTCGTACCCCGAGGTGGCAGGAGAGAAAGACTGGAAAGCGGAAACGTGCAGATGAGGGGTGTAGCGGTGACGATGCGGAGGGTGAAGAGGCGGAGGTGTCTGTTGGTCAGCGCTTCTGCATTCATTTCCACCATTGCATGATGCGCGCTGCAACCAAGGCAGAAGCAGGCCATCCAATGACTCCTCAGGAAGTGGCAGATGAGATCGGGGGGTGTGGAGACCATTGGGCAGGCATACACACTGGTTGTGAGCGAGATGGCGTGGTCCCACGTTGTGTTAGGGAACGGTGGGGGAAGGAGAGTGCGCTGTATGAACCAGGTTCGGCGACTCACTTGGCGTTCAAGAAGTGGTTGTCGGTCAACTGTGGCCCAGGTCCAATGGCCGCATACGTTTTGGGGGCATCAAACTGGTTGAACGAGTCATTTCACTCGTTGATTACGAAGTACGCGCCAAAGCGTATTGCGTTTCTTGGCACTATGGAGGCTCGGGTGGCTTTGAGTGTGCTTCATTGGAATCACGCGGTGGAGAGAGTTGTCAGGGAGTGGCGAACACGCGTACGCAAGGTAACACGAGTGCGGGGTGGGATGAAAGATAGGGTGCTCGGCCCAATGGATTGGCGTTGGGTGGATGAGGTCTTGGAGAGATGGGAAAAGATAAGGGAGTGTGGGAGAAAAGCAAGGAGCATTGGATCCGAGAAACAGGGGGGAAGAGAAGTGAATGTGGGGGAGGAGGTGGAGGACGAGGTGGAGGACGGGGTGGAGGATGGGGTGGGGGGGGCGAAGAGGACGTGGTAGGAGTCGAGGTGGTTCCCGACAAAGTAGTGGAGGCTGCGGTGAGGTTGGGAGCGCACCTAGGGGACGAGAACGAGGCGCCTCATATTAGCTCCACTCCCATTCGACTTCCCTCGACGCCATCCCGCGCCGGCGGTTGCGCTCAAGCGCGCACGCCATTCTCACCGCTGACCCCAACATCCGATGCATACGTGTTCACAAGCTCTGCAAGCATGCGTGATTCCGCTTCGGGGGCACGTACACGACGTCGGACCCGCAGGAACGCGCGCCCCAGTAGAGTCCGGCGGACGCTACCGCTTGGTCAGTGTTGGGGCGTGTCAAGACCATGGTTTTGTCTTTTTAGTATGAATGCATAGCTACATCTTTGTGTTGCGTAAGATGATGTTTGATATTTGTGGTCTATGATCGTACCGTCCCCAATTCAGGCGACCAGTCCCAATCGTTGCAAGCATGAAGTCATTGCACTGGATGAGCGGGCTCCGTGCAAAAGACAACGCAAAATTCCCTCGCGGTATGGACATATGGCTTGCGGTAGAGTCTCTTTTTTTTCAAAGGAGTATCCTATATTTGATATCCCGTTACTAACATTCTTTCTATTGGACAGATTTGTGGACTTCACGCATGACCTGGCAACCTAACCTCAATCAGGCATCACCCAACTTGACAATATGGTCCCGATTAGTAAGTCTTTCAAACTCCCACGTTAAAGTTGCCCTGGCGCTTCCTTCTCTTTAGGAACCCCAGCATGCATCACCCCCCATCTCCCATGCCATTATCTCATCATTAGGAAGTAATGTATAGCATCATTTGGGTCCTATTGTCATCACGTGGCACATCCTCCCTTGTCCCTCAGCCATCACCATGCATATAAGTACCAACCATTATTTTCTTCCACCTTCCCTCCCCAATCATAACCCCATGCCATCACCTCATGCCCCTTTACCACGCATCCCCCTTTGCCACCTCATTCCATCCCCCCTTGTTATCCCCGTTCTTTTGCCATTGCCATTACCCCCCATGCCCTTCCCATCAACTCTCATCCCTGTGTGACATGTCTTCTCACCCCTTCTAGCCATCATCATTCATATAATATTGCCATCACCTCCAAAATCCTCTCGTCTCAACCAGTCAGTGGCAATCATATAATCGAAAAATTGTTATCTCATTCCCCGGTCCATCTCGTATTATCACCCCATGCCATCACCATCCCTTTCCCCCTTCCCCCATCACCATCACCATCACCATCACCATCCCGCTGACCTCACCTCCCGCATCCTCTTCTATCACCTCTCTTCCCCCGCTGCCACCTCCTCTCATACCCCCTCCTTCCATCGGTTATCTCCCGTTGCCATCACCTCCCATATCTTCTACTCTCTCCCAGCCATGACCATTCATATAATCAACCCTAATCATCGTAATCTCCCTTCCATGCCCTCCTTTCCCCTCATGCCATCAGCTTCCCTCCCGCTTGGCCAGCTCCTCCTTTCCACGCTGACTCCCCCTCCCGCCCACATCTTCCAGCAATGCTCCTCCCCCTTAGGCACCTCCTCGCATCCCCTCTTACCACCACCATTCATTTCTCACGGCACTCACATCCCATCTCCCATTACAATCACGTGGGAAACCACTTTGCAATCTCTTCTCATCCACAATTGATACCTCTTCTCATCTCTAGTTGCCATCTCCTGTCATTGTGCTTGTCCATATCCCCTTTTCTCTCCCAGCCATCACCATACAATTTATTAACACCCATGATCACATTCCTGTCCGCCACCAAATGCCTTGACGCTTCCCCCCCCTCTCACCCAAGTGCCATCACGACCCGTTCCCCTCTCCCAACCCCACTCACCCCCCCTCCGCCATCACCCTTTCATCCCATACTACAGTTTCTCCTCACGCCTTTTCGGTCACTTTCCAGTCCCCCTTCCATCCCCTATCACCCCCCTAGGCCATCACCTTACCTTCCCCCTTCGCCATCTCCCCCCTTTCCCCACGGTCATCAACTCCCACCCGGCGGCAGAGTGTGGATACCACAAAGATATAGGCAGGTGACATATGGCGGCAGCGGAGTGTTGGGAAATAAAACGGCATGGAGGGGAGGAGAGAAGGACAAAGGGCGCTGGAGAAATACGGCTCCATGTACGGTTGATGTCTTACAACTTCTAACAACTTACGCCAAGCTAGTTATAATTCATAGATGTACAAACTTCGACATGCGGCTTCGAGTCCGAGGCGTTACGTTATATATGATAGGTGTGAGCGTTGCAGAGGCTACGCACCACAGCGAGCATGCTTTGTTAGCTTTTGACGTGTTAATTTTGTGCCATTATTTGTTTGACACCACTTAGAACATGTCCTTCTACGTTTCAACAGCCTAAACCCTACCAAACTGATGACATAACAGCTTTGTTGAGCATGTTGGGTATAGCGGGATAGCATTGGTTCATTGTCAAGTAAACATGAGGGAGAGCATATACAAACACAATGATTACAACATGTATATTCACTCAACTCGCGACTCTTGTGTCTCAACCATGGTCGTTTCCGCCACGCTCACATCTGAGCTCCTCATGGTGAAGTCGATATCGTCGGGGATTGTCCAAGACGGGAACCAATCTACATCCGTCTGGCTACACCCCACATAACCTTCATCACCAAGCTCCGGATAAAGTGACCCTATGACAACGTACACCAGCCATGGCAATGTAACGTGGGCAAACGGGTGGTCCCCCAACAATTTGGAGTACTCGATGTAGCATCGGAAGCGGTGGTTTTTAGCTACTATTGGACGTCCATCTGCATCCTCTGTGGTGTTCTTTTCAAGACATATACGCAGGACACTCTCTACTGTAACGGTGTCGTCCGCATCACCACCCTCCTGCCCTAATCCGAGCTCATTAATGGCCCACTGTTCAAGCACTTGGCTTTGCTTTGGAAATTCGATGGCAAACCCTGAAAGGGACCAACATTCCTTGGCATAGAAAAGCTGTGGCGGCATCCCAGTTGGCTGTACCACCCTACGCCGGGTCACCCTTTGAACGGGCCGCCAACTGCTAGCAACCGCTGAGCGACCAGGCACACCATTGCTATTCCTTGCCGTTTGGGATGGGTCAGAGAAGGTTGTCCCTGCCTGTCTCTCCATAGCCTCATCGTCATCCTCCTCTCCTTCAATTCCCATCCTAAACCCCAACCGCACCCGACGACGCCGTCGATAATCCCAGCGATACATCTTCAGTCAGCCTGCAGCATGGGACATAGGGCAGGAAAGAGGAAGTGCTGGTTGGGTGTTTAGGTTGGGAAGAGAGCAGGGATGGACTAGCATGGCACAAGGGCCCTCCCCTACTAACCCTTCCACCTACTTAGCTGTGACCTCACCTCCCTCCCCCTCTGACCTCACAACCATTCACCCTCACAATGCATATATTTCCCCCCTCATTCCTCTTTGCTCTTATCCCTCTGACCTCACCCACCTCATGAGGGGCCCCATCTCCCTTCCCCCTCGGACAGCACCTCCTCTCCCCACCCTATCACACCCCTTTCGTCTCTGGCCGCCTCTTCCCCTCCCCCATGCACTCACCTGCCTTTCGCGAGGGACCCCATCTCCCTTCCCCCTCTGACAGCACCTCCTTTCACCCTCCCATCACTCCCCTTCCCCCTCTGGCCGCCTCTTCCCCTCCCCCATGCACTCACCTGCCTTTCGCGAGGGACCCCATCACCCTTCCCCCTCTGACAGCACCTCCTTTCACCCTCCCATTACACCCCTTTCACCTCTGGCCGCCTCTTCCCCTCCTCCATGCACTCACCTGCCTTTCGGGAGGGACCCCATCTCCCTTCCCCCTCTGGCAGCACCTCCTTTCACCCTCCCATCACTCCCCTTCCCCCTCTGGCCGCCTCTTCCCCTCCCCCATGCACTCACCTGCCTTTCGGGAGGGACCCCATCTCCCTTCCCCCTCTGACAGCACCTCCTTTCACCCTCCCATTACACCCCTTTCACCTCTGGCCGCCTCTTCCCCTCCCCCATGCACTCACCTGCCTTTCGGGAGGGACCCCATCTCCCTTCCCCCTCTGACAGCACCTCCTTTCACCCTCCCATCACTCCCCTTCCCCCTCTGGCCGCCTCTTCCCCTCCCCCATGCACTCACCTGCCTTTCGTGAGGGACCCCATCTCCCTTCCCCCTCTGACAGCACCTCCTTTCACCCTCCCATCACTCCCCTTCCCCCTCTGGCCGCCTATTCCCCTCCCCCATGCACTCACCTCCCTTTCGGGAGGGACCCCATCTCCCTTCCCCCTCTGACAGCACCTCCTTTCACCCTCCCATCACTCCCCTTCCCCCTCTGGCCGCCTCTTCCCCTCCCCCATGCACTCACGTGCCTTTCGTGAGGGACCCCATCTCCCTTCCCCCTCTGACAGCACCTCCTTTCACCCTCCCATCACTCCCCTTCCCCCTCTGGCCGCCTATTCCCCTCCCCCATGCACTCACCTCCCTTTCGGGAGGGACCCCATCTCCCTTCCCCCTCTCACAGCACCTCCTTTCACCCTCCCATCACTCCCCTTCCCCCTCTGGCCGCCTCTTCCCCTCCCCCATGCACTCACCTGCCTTTCGTGAGGGACCCCATCTCCCTTCCCCCTCTGACAGCACCTCCTTTCACACTCCCATCACTCCCCTTCCCCCTCTGGCCGCCTCTTCCCCTCCCCCATGCACTCACCTGCCTTTCGTGAGGGACCCCATCTCCCTTCCCCCTCTGACAGCACCTCCTTTCACCCTCCCATCACTCCCCTTCCCCCTCTGGCCGCCTCTTCCCCTCCCCCATGCACTCACCTCCCTTTCGGGAGGGACCCCATCTCCCTTCCCCCTCTGACAGTCGAACTACTCGCTTGACGCGCGGCCTACTCGCATTCCGTCCGTTCACTACTCTCGTTCCGCCAGTCGTAATCTAAATCCGCACATACCTGCTCTCATTCCGCCGTTCAGAGCGGAATGTCCGCACGTCCCTACTCTCAT